AGTCAAAACATCCGCTATGTATATTCCAAATAGATCTCGTGGGTTGGGAATGCCCCACTTTCTCCATTATTACCATGCAGCACAACTAACACAAATACAAAACTTCAACCTCAGACTTTGCAACTCACTTCACTGACAAGATCTCTACAATCAGGGAAGATATCTCTCATCTTTCTTCTTCCCCTTACAATACTTCCCCTAACCTCACTTCCTTTGCTGTTCTATGTTCATTCGCACCCGCTACAGTGGAAGAGGTTTCTGCTCTGCTCCAGTCCTCCCGCCCCACCACCTGCTCTCTAGATCCAATTCCCTCGCATCTCATCCATACTCTGTCTTCTTCTCTTTCTCTACCTCTCACTAAAATTCTCAATCTCTCTCTGGCATATTTCCATCGCCCTTCAAGCTTGCAACTGTAACCCCCATTCTTAAGAAGCCCAACCTTGACCCTAACTCCCCATCCAATTACCGTCCTCTCTCACTACTGCCTTTTGCATCCAAGATCCTTGAAAGAGTTGTGTATGCGATATTGACAGACTTCCTCAAGTCCAATTCTCTGCTAGACCCACTTCAGTCTGGTTTCCGGGCTAAGCATTCTGTAGAAACAGCACTGACCAAAGTATCCAATGATCTACTCGCTGCAAAATCTCGTGGTCACTTCTCTATCCTAATTCTCCTTGACCTGTCTGCAGCTTTTGATACTGTTGATCATCAACAGCTTCTTCTCATCCTCCGCAATATCGATCTACAAGATATTACTCTCTCCTGGTGCTCCTCCTACTTCTCCCAGTGCTCTTTCAGTGTTTCTTTCTCTGGCTCTGCTTCTTCTCCCCAACTTCTCTCTGTTGGTGTCCCCCATGGTTCAGTCCTTGGTCCCCTACTGTTCTCCATCTATACTGCCTCCCTTGGAAAACTCATTAGCTCCTTTGGCTTCCAATATCATTTCTATGAAGATGACACGCAAATCTATCTGATCTCTCCCCTTCCCTCTTGACTAGTGTCTCTGACTGCCTCTCTGCTATTTCTAACTGGATGGCTGACCACATCCTTAAACTCGACTTGACCATAAGTGAAATTCATGTCTTTCCTCCCTCAAGTGTTGCTACTCCTGTGTCTGTCTCCCTCCAAGTCAACAGTGCTACCATCGGGTCCACCACGCAAGCTCGCTGCCTAGGTTCTCTCTTTGACTCCGACCTCTCCTTCATGCCTGATGTTCAGTCTATCGCCAAATCCTGCCGCTTCCATCTCAAAAACATTGCGCGCATCCAACCCTACTCTAATACACAAGTATGTCCCGTCTAGGCCCTTACGCTATGCTAAAGACTTACGTCTATCTTCTGTCCGTACTCCCACCTCTGATGCTCACCTTCAAGACTTCTTGAGGGCTGCCCCTTTCCTATGGAACTCACTTCCCTCCTCCGTTCGATGCTCACCCAGTCTTCACTCCTTCAAAAAATCATTAAAAATTCACTTCTTCATAAAAGCTTATCAATTAAACTATCCCATGTGTTCCCTATTAAGGGTTAACAAGTATATAGGGGTGTATATAAAAAATACCCCTTTCTGTCTCAGAGATATTTTTTGCCAGAAGCTCAAGGAAGCAAGGTAAAGGGTCAGAGTAGGACCCGTCTAGGGGGGTCTGCCTTGACGTTGGCAGGCGGGCATTCCCTCCAGTGGCCATTGGAGTAACTAAATGACCTCCATTTGTTCAAATATACATAGGGATTAAGGAGAGAGTGCAGGTAACTTTTTTTCTTTGATTTTTACTATATGTATTAGCTGATGTGTACTGTAGTTATTGCTGCCGCCCAGGAGTGATGGGAGTGAGTGCAGGACTTTCTTTTTGTATTTGTATCAATTAAACTGTTAATAGCTCCCGACTGATTCCTCTCTTGTAACTGTCATTAGTCTAATACTATCATTACCTTTTGTTTCACTTTACCCCACTCCCTCTAACATGTAAGCTCATTGAGCAGGGCCCTCAACCCCTCTGTTCCTGTGTGTCCAACTTGTCTGGTTACAACTACATATTTGTTCGTCCACCCACTGTAAAACACTGCAGAATTTGTTGGCGCTATATAAATAATAACATAATAATAACAACACACGTTGGGTGGACCTGGAGCATGACCTTTTCAGCCAGAACTTTCCGTCCTTGCTTCTAACTCCCCTGACATATACATCCATTCGTTCCACCAATGCCACCATCGAAATTTATGGAAATAAATCAATGGAAATTCCCTCTCATAAGCATCTTATCCATATTTAGTTGATTTTTACAGAACAGACTCTCCCCCTCCAGGCATGAATCTACGTGACTCTGTACATTTTGAAGACAGTGACCTAATCGGGTACTATAACTTTCTCACAAACGGATAGATAACACCTGTTTAGAGCCTACCACCACACCATACATCCCTCGAAACCTTTGACAACTTCAGATATTTGCCAAACAGATGCTTATTTGATACCCCTCATAACAGACTAGATGGAACATCAAAATCCACGGCATTCGAAAGAGCATGCATGGAGGCAGCATTCAACAAAAGCATAATATCTTCTAACTAATGACATGTTTTTTTGTTTTTTGTTTTTATTCTTTATTGTTCTTATGTATATGAGGACAACAAGCGTGTAGAGCCACAACAGCGTCTACAAGCATTTTCAAGACATTTAAAAAGTGTGGCAGTTTGATCAGCACATTTTTTGTATAATCATGAAAATAACAGGCTAATAAACAATGCTTATATTATATAACATGCTAGGGTAGTTAAGCATAGTAAAAGTTGGACGTAAGTTTGATAGCCCGCTTTGTCTAGTTAGCAGTATGTGGGGGGGCCCACCAGGCCCTCGTTCTCTGTGTCAGGTCCGCAGTTCCGTAGTAGCGGGGGTCAGCTAGTGGGTCACGGTGCTATTACAGCTCCAGGTGGTGTCTGCCCTTTTTTCTATGGCGTTGCCTGTGTCCAGCCTGAGGAAGCCCTGTGCCTTTCGTGGCCGCCTGGTTTGACCCAAGCGGTAGCTGGATGTGTGAAGTAGTAATTTGTTCTACCAATGATTTGATTCAGGGGCAGATTTATGTTTTTTGACAGGACAGATCAATCATCTGATGTAAGTTCAACTGAGCATAAATGTACTTGCTAAAGACAAGACGTAACCCCTTAAGGACACATGACATGTGTGACATGTCATGATTCCCTTTTATTCCAGAAGTTTGGTCCTTAAGGGGTTAAAGTAAAAAAAAAATTCCAACCGGTAACCTAATTTATAGACTGGCAGTCCTTAAATGGACACTACGAGCACCAATACATATATAACACATTTTGCCTTGTTATGCTGTATTTTTGCGGACTCAAATCATTATAGTTTATGCACAATAAAAGAAAAAAGGTTTTCAGAATGCTGCAACATAAATCTGCCTCCTTAGCCACATCCCATCAGTCCAGAAAAAAAAGACTTCCTTATCAAATGTCTGCAGTTCTCAAAGTGAAACTCCAACACATAAAGCACTTCTATTCATTGAATCTTCGGGTTTATCCTTGCTCTAAGAGTGCAGTCATCTTTACTTCTCTTTGGTCATAACCAAAGCTTATATAAACAAAAACTGTGTTGGTAATTGTAAGCTAGTGTGCATTTATGAATCCCAAAATAAGCAGGCAAAGGCACCTCAAAAGAATGCAATCTGAGGTAGTTTCATCTCAGGTTGTGCATGGTCTTAGCAGTTATGGAAAGTGGTGCTTCTAACCAAAGAGGATAAACGACGGCCTTCTGCACAGAATAAAAGTAAGAATGGAGATGTGCTAAAAAATATACAAACCCTCCCACCACAGAATAACACATAGGCTATTATTCACAATCTTTTATTTTTGGTAATAAATTAGTTTTCCGTTAATACAAGAAGATTACTGGATAATGCCATGGTAATGTCATTTGATGTAGTATGGAACAAGAATAGAACAGTAAAGGCTGTTTAATTTAAATATCCAGTTACACCAAGTAGTAAATAACATTTTGCCAAGTAATCCAAAAAATCATTAAGAAAAAAACATATACAGGTGATACTCGAAAAATTAGAATATCGTGCAAAAGTTCATTTATTTCAGTAACGTAACATAAAAAGGGAAGCTAATATATGAGATAGACGCATTCCATGCAAAGCAAGATAGTTCAAGCCGTGATTTGTCATAAGTGTGACCCCACACTGACCCCACTATAGGCTGCCCTTGAGGATCTGTAATAGGTTTATGATCAGTATCTCAGGGAAATATAAAACAAGGAGTTTTCTTTATAGGATTTAGGGTAACTAACAGTTATATATATATATATATATATATATATATATATATGAGTTGCATTAACAACGAAACAGCTGTCCATGATGGTTTACTGGCTTTGCATCTTTTCCTAAGTTGGGTTTCAAGCAAACACAGACTAAAATGAATCAATGTTTAAAATGGAATGAGGCAAAAATGTGATTATTTGTTAAGGTAATTTGCATATGTCCACCCAGAATCCTTTGCGGTAGTAACATTACTGCAGATTTGTGATTTCTGTGGGAAAAGCAAGTCTTATGGCTTGACAGGTGTGCAGATTTATGTTTAACATTGTATTAACTATATAGATATATATATATATATATATATATATATATATCCATAAACTCAATGAGACAAACATATGCTTTGAAGTACCATTTACCATGTATTATATGTTTTGGAATGTTCCGATAACTTATAAAACTGTAAAAATATAATTGGCCACTAGATTTCATAGATTTAAAACATATATGTTATAACTACTTTGTATTTTAGAAAGTTTACTCTAAACGGTCTTCATGGCATTAACAGAAAAGCACATGCATTGGTTTATAACTAATGGGGATTACATTAATGTGTTATCTTGTTTTGTTTTTTTACTCCATAATCAAAACGCGATATAACAGATATAAAACAAGTTTATTTTTACAAAGGTGTTTTTTAATACTATCAACAGTGCTCTCAAAATATTCAGTTAACCCTTTTTTCTTCATCTGTACTTTTTATCTTGCAAGATGAACTGTTTGTTTTATCACTTTTTTCTTTCGCATCTTGTATTTCTTCATCATCTTTGAACGCTCTTTGAAGGGCATCATGAATGGAGTGATGAGATTTTTCTCTCCATTGTCTTCCCACAATGAAGTAAATGTATGGATTGATAGTACTATTCAGTGATGTGCTAAACACGCTGGCATAGTAAATACTAACATACTGAACATCCAATTTCAAAAGTTGAAAGTACATTAAAAACCATATGAAGTTAAATGGAACGACTGACAGAATAAAAATAATCACAGCAACAATGATAATAATGTAGAGCTTTGGGGGGTATTGCCGCTGGAAGATCCTCCCTACTCTTATAAGTAGTGCGAAGCTACAAAGAACCATTAATGGCAAGCAGATACCAACACCTATAGTAAATGTCATTAGCTGAACTCCCGTACATAAGTTTGTCTGAGCTGCAAAATCTTCTGGTGGACATGCAAGATTTTTAATGAGACTCTCTGAGCAGCCAACAAACCAGAGGACAAGACACACAATAGAAGATAAATTCTTTGGTCGGTTACAATGATACCACATTGGAAACATCACTGAGAGGCACCGTTCCATGCTAATGGCTGTGAGGAAGAACATTCCTGAATACTGAGCGGTATCATAAAATATTTCTAGAAATATATAGAAAGCCTTTCTTCCGGTAAAATTAGAGTTTTCAACAATTAGTGTGTTTATATATAACATCATTATTAGAGCAGTAAATAATAGAAAGATGAAGTCAGCTATTGCCAGGTTGATAATATAAACAGTATATTTGTTTCTCTTTATCCTGAAGGCAAGAAACCAGAACACAATCACATTTCCCACTATTCCAAACAAGCAGAGAGCAATGGCAACTGCAGATGCTCCAGTAAAATGTATATTTGCATCCGGATTATAACCACCATTGTCATTCGTGGTATTATGCAGATCAGTCATGTTTGTGTCGTTGAAATCCATGTTGCTTGTTCTGTGAATTCTTAGCCTATAATAAAAATGCAACATAAAATACAAAAATACTCACAAGCCTAAGGTGTCACTATACAATGTGGTATTTGTTTTTACAGTGGAAGTGATATGCATAAGCACATTAGTCTATAGTAAACATTTTATTAGCTGCTGTATGGGACTGTAACTCTCACTAATCTCAGGCAGCATTGGTGACATGTATGCCCCTAACAATAAAACCTTCCTTTAACCCTTACAGTACTCTAACACACTACACTACACATTAACCCCTAGATCAGGGGTAGGCAACCTATGGCACGTGTGCCATGCACGGCACTCGAGGTGTCTTTGCACGGCACTTAAGGCTGCTAGAGCCAAGCAGGCTCTGGCCTATTAGAAGTCCCAGTGAAACTTCATATATCTGCTAATACGCAAAGATGGTGAAGGACAATCCTCAATTTATGCATTGCAGCACATAGAGGAAGTGATCTCAGATTACTTCCTCCCAGCACTTGTGAATGGGAATCCACACTGTAGTAGAGCAGTCCACAGCTGCTGTTGCAACTCCTGCCCTTCTCTTGTACCTGGCCAGCCTGGTCCCCACTGGACCCCAGGGAAGCCACCAACACTGCTAGATATACACAGACCTGCAGAATAACCTTCCCCTCATACAAATACAAACAGCCCACACACAAACATACACACAATCCCCACAAACCTAACACCACTAGCAATCCATATACATGCACACAACCCCACATGCAGCCTCTCACATGCAAAACCCCAAACAGCCCCACACATACACACACTACCAAACATACAATGTGACATATCCACACAAGCAGCCCCCATACACAGTCTACATTCATGGGTATCATACACAACACCACAAACTACTCATGAACATATACAATATAATAGCTCATAAACGCACAAATACAACAATACAAAGCAACTACAGTATAAATAACACAAGCAGAATACGGCAACATGCACACCTCAATTTAAAATTTCGGCACAGTGCTGCTAAAAGGTTGCCTACCCCTGCCTTAGATAGATAGATAGATAGATAGATAGGCACGTAGACAGATGAACAGACAGATGCAGATAGGCAGATAGATATATAAATAGATATATAGATATGTTTGTAACACTTGTAAAATCCACATTATTAAAGCGACACTATAGTCACCAAAACAACTTTAGCTTAACAAAGCAGTTTTGGTGTATAGAACATGCCCCTGCAGCCTCACTGCTCAATTCTCTGCCATTTAGGAGTTAAATCACTTTGTTTATGAACCCTAGTCACACCTTCCTGCATGTGACTTGAGAGGCATTATCTATATACTAAAACTGCTTCATTAAGCTAAAGTTTTATAGGTGACTATAGTATTCCTTTAATAATATCATTAATTTGAGGGACCATGACATGATAGGCAGGACTGAATTTACCATTTTTACGTAATTACATAAATGAGAGGGAAAGGAGTTAAATAAACCTGGTAGTTGACACATTTCCCCAGGTTAATTTTAGAGCTTGTATATTTTTACTTATTTACAGGGCATGAATCTAACAAATAAACAAAACTGAAAAATGATAATAGCTATTGCAATATTAGTTAAAGAGATTGTGTAGAAACAAAGTGCAAAATACAATTAAACACACATGGAATTGCATGAATTTAAAGAATAGAAAAACATTAAAAAAGAGAGAGTAATTATATATATTACACACTTTTGTGTGTAATTTAAGGACACATTAAGTTACATGAGAGAATAGGAAGAAAAATAAACAAATCAACAGAAATACATATTAGAGAAACAAGCAGCATTAGGGATGCTCACCTGTCAGGGCTCTGTATCT